TATCTTCACTTTGGCTTCACCTGCACAAGTGCCAGGTAGGTCTCTGCCACAGAATTAATTTCCCTTTCGTCGGGAGCATGCTCTGTGCTCTCGAAATTACGGACTAACAGTATCCCACAGTTGTTTATGTTTTTGAATCCATTTTGCACAGAGAGGCATTTTTTTGAGAAATGTATTGATAGCAATGTTGAATATTATTACACAGGAAAAAAACAACTACACATAAAATAATTACACCCCGACGCCTCTGCCTTTCTAAATTGGGGGACAGTAACTGCGTGTGTAGAGTGTAAAACTGTAGATAGTCAGATTAACAGTAACATTTTATCTCTATCTGCCATTCTGCAATTCATCTCATGTAAACAATAACGTGACGCACAGCGTGACGTAAGGCACATACCTTTGACGTTGCGTGACGAACTCTGTATTCCTTGTCCACATTTAAACGCAAAAAACAGCGTTCTAAAAAAAAAATCTCAGTTTTCGGTGATTCGAAACGCCGTTTACGTGTGGACGAAAGGTTCGAACACATAGAAACAGCTGCGTTTTCAAAAATACCCGTTTAAGTGTGGACGTAGAGTAAAAGAGTTAGTAGTGGGGGGGGCGAACATTTTTCTTCTAAAACAAAGTAGCCTAAAATTTCTATCAGTGCCAAACTCACATTATTTCACCAATGTGTATTATTAATTTCCACAATGAAATAGGGTGTAGCGTAAAAATAAAAATAATGCAATCTTAAGTTCTTGTTTTAATTAAAATAAATTTTACATTCAAAAGTATAAAAAATGGTCATCTTTAAGTTAAAATAAAAATAATGAAAAGATGCAGCTGGTTTACCCTTTTCTTCTTCCTTTACTACATGTCCCATGTAAACTATCAGCTTCAACTCCTCCCCTCTGTTTCCTTGACTTTGCTACTTCGGACTTCTGCATCTCATCTCCTTGCGGAGTTTTCCTTTTTTTGAATAAATTATTTGATTGGCTCAGCACGATCAAGTAGGATGTGTTACAATGTACCTGATTGGTCTATGTGTTTCTGTGTGTTATTTGGACTCGGTGCTTTGTTCGACTGCTGTATGTATAGAACAATGTAAAGAAAAACGCTGCCCAGATTAAAATCGACGATACATCAAAATCAAGTAATTAATATGAATCCGTAAATAACGTAAATAAAAATCTGTTTAAACAACTGTTATTTTACAGTTGTCTAATAACTGCCCTCTTGGCTCTCTTCCTCTTCCTGAGGTGGATTTTTAAGGTCAATTGCACTTTTTACCTGTATAAATAAAGGATATAGCGTCGCTTTTGCAAAAACCTGGTTGCATCTTCTACCTTGTGACTGGTATTTTTTTAGCTAAAAATTACTTAATATCATTAATGGCCGATATGTTTGTGAGCTTAAAGGCCAACAAGTCATTTACAACGGTTTAAATACAGGCAATCATTTTTTTTGGCAGACTATCATTATTTGGCACAGCCTGGCTGCGTCCACCTATCGGTGGCCTAGGATCTAGAGCGTCATCGGTTGCTTGACAGCGAAACAGCCAATCACCGTAGAGTTACAGGGTCACTCCGATGGAGCAGTCGCATACGTATTCTTGCGCGATGACGTTGTTGAAAAAAAAACCCCACTTAGAACGTGTGTAAACGGAAATGGTGAATTGTTGTGGACAGCACACGTTGTGGGGCGAGAGAGGAGTGAAATGGGACAAAATCAAACTCCGTCCTAATGTTTTGCTCAGCGCTACCGTGTGAGTTAGAAGGAGCCTGAAGAGAATCGACGCTAATGCAGACCTGCTAGCTGGGAGCTAGCAACCAGCAGAGGAAGGTATGTGTGACCACAGAAATAAAGTAGTGAAAAGTAAATGCTACCCCCCGCTGTCAGCACTTCTTACTGTTTAGTCTGTTAAACTGTGTTAAACTGGTAATAGCACCTGTCCAGTGCCTTACTTACCTGGCGTTAGCACTGAGTAAGATGCGACACTAGCTGGTGTTTACCAGCCGTCATTTCAAAACGGCACTGACATATTTAGTGTTTCACAAATGCTCATATACGCGGCTTGCGTTTTTAAGACTTCAGAGTGTTGCACTGAAGACACCTGTGCCGTTTAACGACACATGCAGCCTTCAGGGACAACTCACGTTGAAGTAGGTCATGCCAGCTTTGCACCTTGTACCTCGGTTCTAAGTTCATGCAGCGGCCGCGTGTATCCGTCATGTTGCTTATGAATCTCTGTAAGGGAGACAAGATTAGTGTGAATCACAAAGCCCCGATAGAAACCTCCTTTTTGTGCTCCAGCCACCTTAAAATAGTTCCTAAGACTCATTTGGGCAGCAATTTTCAAACTTGAATAAATTTTAGTTTTAGTGAGCACCGGGACATAAAAACTGCACAATTGCACCTCAAACGGGAATTAAAACTGTTTAAACGTGACTGACTGACAGATTTCAAGTTAATATTAGTCGTGAGATTCCCAAGAAAGTGCATTTCAAGCTGTTCCTCAAACGCAGCACCACATGGTGATTTTCTTCTACCATGCCTGTGTAAACCCTGCTTTGCGATCTGTGTTCAAAGATTAACAGAAAGGTGGAAGATACAGATGGAAGAGTCTCTCAGTCTGGTCTTGAGTGCAGTGGTCATACAAAAGGCAGTAAAAGGTAACTGTGCTGTGTTTGTGCAGCAGCCATGGCTGAGGCCGGAGCCCATCTCACATCCACGGCTGTCAGTGAGCAGCCATCAGTGTTTGAAGTCCTGGCACAGGAGTCTTTGATGGAGGCGGTCAGACCGGCACTGAAACATGCAGTCAAGGTGAGCGTGTGTGTGGTGGTGGTACTTAGGGCTGCACGATTAATCGTTAGAAAATCGCGATCTCGATTCATACTTATGTGCGATCTCATTTCCAAATGACAACAATTTAAAAAAAAAAAAAAAAAGACGACGATTGTACCGCATTTTGATCCGGGACGTAATCTGCATGAAAACAAGCGCTCACTCTTCCTGCTCAACAAATGACAAGGGCGGAGCCTTATACCACGTGATACAGAAGCTGTGCCGTGTGATGCTAAAATTAGCAGGGAAAAAACAACGGAGAGCACGTCAGGGATGACGAGAAAGTGACAGGAGAAAATCCGTCCTGGTCAACCACCCAAACATCAATAACGGGAACCTTATACAGCGCTTCCCTATACCCGTCGAACTCCCGCAGGCACAAAGAAATTAGAGGCTATCACTTATCACCTGACAAAGATATGGCTCCCATCAACACTGTGCAAAACGAGGGATTTAGGAAAATGATCAACATCCTAGACAAACGCTACACAGTGCCGTCCCGCAACTATTTTTCTATTGTTGCACTACCTGCTCTATACACGCAGCGTCGAGCAACGGTGGAGACGGAATTTCAAGCAGTACAACATTTTGCGGCAACAACAAAACGTGAGACATTTGTTGTTTTTATGTTTATTTATTGTTTTTATGTTCAGTCTCAACTGTTACGAAGTTGATGTGCAGTTAATAAGTGCAATAAATATTTATACTGGAAAAGAGAATCGTGAGAGAATCGTGATCTCAATTCTAAGCCAGAAAATCGTGATTCTCATTTCACGCAAAATCGTGCAGCCCTAGTGGTACTTATACTTTCCATAGATCAGTGTTAGGGTTCTAACAGCCTAGCTCCTGGTGTCCTTTCCAGGTTCTGGCAGAGTCCAACCCATCCCGCTTTGGCTTCCTGTGGCGATGCTTTGATGAGCTCTACCTGCTGCTGGACCTCCTCCTTCAGAACCACTTCCTGTCTAACTGCAGTGCCTCCTTCTCGGAGAACTTCTACGGACTGAAAAGAGTTTCAGGCAGGCAGAAACTTCCTGTGCGCCTCGGGATGACCAGGACATCCCGCTGGTGGTCTCTTCTTCTTCTGTGCCTGCTGCCATACCTGCAGGCCAAGCTAGAGGCCACATTGGCACGGCAGAGGGATGAGGAGGATTTCTCCATCCGGTTGGCACAGACGAGGAGCCAGAGGCTGTACCGGGCGGCCGTAGCAGCATATCCGTACGTCAGCTCAGCCTGGCAGACCTGGATCTTCTGTCAGCAGCTGCTGTTTGTCTTTGGAGTCTCCAGGACCCACAGTCCTCTCCTGTGGCTGGCCGGGGTCAGACTGGAACGACTTAACGCTCAAGATATCAGAGACATGGAGCGGAAAGCCAGGACTCCCGGGAGACCAGCTGGAGGAAGGTACAGCTCGCAAACTCCTTGCTGTCTCTGTTTTTACCCACAGTGGTGTCCTAACAGGTGTGCTTTGTACCCGGATAGATCACCAGTTGCAGATTCTAAACTGAAGGAAATTTTTCATGCAGCCTGTTTAATAGAGGTGGGAATCACCATACATCCCACGATACGATATTATCACAATACTTAATGCACGATACGATATTATTGCGATTTATTTTTATTTTTTTTAAATATCTGCGATATTCAGATTCTGTACATAAAGGTAAACTTTATCAATATTCATTTTATCTAATATCAAAGTCTCGCTCTCAGTCTTTCTCTCATTTCAGTCAGTTTTATTGTTTGTATTACAGTCTAGTCCAACTTAACTGAATGCAACCATCTGGTACAATTACAGCTATTCTGAACTATGCAATTTATGAAAACTATGCAGCCCATTCAGCAACTGAAGAATTTGAAAGTAAATTAAAACAAAATATAATTTTACATTAAATAAAAAAGTTTTAAACTTAATTAAAATAAAACATGTCTTAAAATTAAAATAAGTAAACTGTCATGTTTATTGCTGCCAAAAAAAAGTTAAGCACATTTGGACAGTGAAGGAATGTCAGGATTCTTGCTCAGAAAAAGGATCAACGTGCTCTGAAGTCAGAGCACAAAAACCTTTTTTGTAACAAAATATCGATTTCTGCCGTCCCTGTATCGATACATTATTAGCAAACAAAATATCACGATACTACACGGTATCGATTTTTTTCCCCCCACCCCTACTGTTTAACTCTATGTTGCTGATACAGCGTTCCATGCATTAAAATGCATTTAGTCAGTGATGCAAAAACCACAAAACTGTTGTGTCCTTATGGTCCAAGCCTGTCTGCTGGGATGGCTCAGATCCAACACATTAGAAAACAGATGTTTTTCACAGAGAATATTAAGACAGTGAGATTAATTTCACTTTGTTTGGCCAAAGGTTTAAGTACTTTAAACACTTATCAAGTTTAATGTTTGCTGATGTGCGCTGTGTGGCTTTAGCTCATTTGGTGAATTGATTTGAGGCCACACAAACATACACTCAGTGATTTTTTTTACAGTTCTTGAATGAGGAATGTCATAAAAAAAAATCCATTGCTAAACACCCACAATGCATTGTTTTTGTGTTCACAGCGTGATGCAGAGAGCGTGGTGGATGATGTCACAAGCAGCGAGGGGCATGGCTGTGTCTGTCTCCTCTTCCCTCTCTATGGGTGTTTTCTTCCTGCAGTTCCTGGAGTGGTGGTACTCGTCGGAGAACCTCAGCACAGTGAAAGCTCTCACCTCCCTGCCGGCTCCTCCACCCCCGCTCCACCTGCAGCAGGATCAGGGCGGGCTGGGCTCAGAAAGCAGGAACTGTCCTCTGTGCAGGAAGCCCCACACCAATGCCACCGTGCTGTCCACCTCGGGCTTCGTGTTCTGTTACCGCTGCATTTACACATACGTGAAAAGTAACCACCGCTGCCCAGTCACCGGATATCCCACCGAACTGCAACACCTCATCAAGATCTACTCACCAGAGAGCTAAAGCATCAAGCAGTCAAAGCAGACAAGATCAACTGTGTGTGAGAGATGATATACAGACACAATATGAAAATTATATTTGAGGGATATTCACAGCTGTTTCCCTTTTTCTATACAATAAACTAATAATGTCCTTAAAGTTTCTGAAAAAAAATACATTTTAATAATATTTCTTTTTTACTAATTTTCAGCTCTTGTCAAAGTGAAAATTGAATAATTCAATAATAAAGCCTAATTAAAAAAAATCTAATAAGAGTGTAATTGTTTTTGTTTTTTTGAGGAATTTGCAGGGTCCCTTAATTTGGTCACCAGTTGGGTTACTGGTTACAAACTGGCTGCATTTTAGCAGCTTTTTCCAGTGCTAGGACCAGATTTAGGCCTGTCACAGTTAGCATAAAAGCAGATCAGTCAGTGGGTCTTTTCCTCACAAATAAGTTGTCATTACTGATAAAAATGTCTGTGACCTGGCAAAGATGTTTAAACTCCTACATGGTGGATTATAAGATGCAACTTCATTTTTGTGGCCTTGTTGAACCGTTGGCCTGGTTCTGCCCAAAGAAGACCTGAGGCACGACCAGTTTGGAAACTTGGTTCACTTCCCTTTTACCCAGAAACCTAAAAGGTGTTCTCCTGCTGCACAGAGAAACATTGTCGAGCTGCTCCTAGTAGAATCAGTTGCTATGGTGTGAGTGCTCTGCTGCATCCCATAATGAGGACACATGCTAATGGAGATGGATTAGAATGAGATCTGGCCCTTTCCTCAAACAAACTGCTGAGGAGTTGGAAGAAAAATAAATATACTAATCAATAAGGTTGTGTGAACACACTCTTAGAGGAGCAGATGCATTTTGAATGAGCCTAGAAAGCATTTGTGTGTGTGTCCTGTTTCCTTTTTGCCTAAGCTGATCTAACAAGTGGAAGAGTTGTTTCAGATATGACCTTACGATCACACTAATGACTGACAGTAGGGCATAAACAACATAACAAGGTTAATGATGCTCTCATGTCTACACCAAATATAAAACCTTATCCAAATGCGATTTAAAGGCTCATAGCGATTTAGTGCTAAGCTAACATAACGATGATTACTTCAAAAGTTTGGTCTCCATTCTCCAATCTAGAGTTTTCAGAGGAGGGTTCTCCTCGTGCACTGTTTGACTTTTCAGCAAGCAGCCAATAGGCTGTACAACCCCAAGCACTTGCTCTACAGGCCACTTGAAAGACAAGTCGATCATCAAAAACCCCAACTTCAACAATGAAATTCAGTCTATGGCTAATTTCAGCTGCTGTTTTGTTAAGGCTTAGTTAGCCATGGACAGATGTTCCAACACAGACCTCATCTTTGCTAATTAGAAGTGGACTTGTGAGTCATCTTTAAACCATTTTACTGGAATCATATGAAACAATATGGCTCGCTGTGTGGTGCAGACACGCCTGAGCTTCAGTTTTGGCTTGCTTCAGCTCGATAACCACGCTTGCTAGCTCAAATATGACTTCTGGCTCGAGAAAATCAAGACAGTCAAAAAGCTAAACTGAACAAAGAGTTCAAAAATACTGCCACCCACCAGGGTAACTCTCTCTCAGCCTCCTAGTGGACGCGCCTGTGGTATCAATTTCAAAAGCCGACTTGAATTCCTTCAAGAGTTAGCGCCAGTTGATCACATCATGATGGCAACTTTCAGGCTTTGCAAACAATCCATAGTCTGTATACAGACAGCCTCTTGCTGTATCTGAGACTAGAAAAGCGCTCTGTAAGTTTCAGAATACAAGTTACTGCACAGACCATCGGTGAATTGCTTTATTGAGTTTCCAGACAAATTTAACAACAAGCCCACTTAAAAAAACAACAAAAAGAAAAAACAGAGAAACAGGTAATCAGGGTCAACATCACAACATTACAGCGAGAGTAATAAAAAAAGGGCTTCGTTAAAATGTCCACAAACCCCTGAAATTAAACTGAGCGTGAAGAATCACAATAGTCACCTTCCCTTTTTAGGCTCCTGCAACACAATCCATCAACAGCAAATCAGGACGAGGAGGGGAACAAAAAATAAACAAAACAAACAAAAAACAGGCTGAAACTTCAAAAAAAGGGACAAGTATCATCATCAATAATAGTCACAGTAATAGATTGCTCGAATAGCGTGTATTGCACATGTGTACACATATATGCACTTTATATACATGTGAGTCAGCAAGAACTAGACACATGTTATATCGTCGCAACAGGCAAGAATCTGGAGAAAACAACAGCACAGACAGAGAAGAGTCAGGAATGTGCTCGTGATCAGTTTCAACAAAAATGGCGTTTCCCGAAAAGAAAAAAACAACGTTTCAGGCGCGAGCTGAAACGAGTGAAAGGTAACAGAGAGAACGTCTCCCCTCGAAAAACAGGAGGTAAATGAGGGAGAGAGGGCGAACCTCCTCTGTCTCCCTCCCACCCGACAGCCCAAATGTACCGCTCTCCCACCCCCGCCCCTGAACACCGCATGATAGCAGGACACTACATTTACACCACAGTATCAAACATATCAAGAAATACACAGTATCAACTCGTAGCAAAATAGTCCGAGTGTGTGTGACTGTGTGCGTTTCACCTCAGTGTCGTGTGGGTGGCAGCAGCAGTAAAGCTATGTGGCCTCCAGGCTGGGGAGGTGCCCTGACAACCCAAACCATCTCTCTGCATCAGCACGGTGTCCTGAAAGAGTTCTCCATTCCCTTCCCTCTTCTCTTTGGGCTCTTCCAGCTAGCGCAATCAGCCCCCGTGCTGAGGCAAGATCCCAATGTTTCCCACCTCGATCTGTGCTCGACACCAAGCAGCAACCACTACAGCTGAAGGGTTTGGCCGTCTCTTGGTAACGTGCTAAATCAACGCAACCACAAGTGGTTCATTCAGTTTTTCCAAATTAGGCCAGGTTTGTCCATCGCATCTGTCGACTACGACAACACAGAGGAGCTCACTCAAGCTCGAATCTTGGACAGTAATGCTAATATGAAAGTGGGTATTTTTAAAGATGAGCAAAGTTTAGAACTGTTCACAACCATGTGTGAAGAAAGGGATAAACGTTTGCCGTCATATACTTTGGAAACTTTGCTGGTGTCAAGTTTTGCTCGCTTGGCAATTCCGTTTCTAGATCCAACTGAGTTTGCAAGAAACCCATCTGAACAACATCTTGGGAGGATTTTCCTGTTATTTTTTTTCTAATTCTTTTAAATCTTTAATTTTTATTGTGGAACTAATAAAAACCACAAAATAAGTCTGACCTAGCGAGATAAGGTAGCTAATCATGAGCTCTTATAGGTTTACATGTTGACGTGTTGGGTCAAGGCTTTTTTTTTATGTGACACTCTTGAAAATACCTAAATTATTATCCAAACTTGATTTACAGGAAATCAACTAACAATTTGTTCCCTTTGTGAATGCAAGAACAAGGAAAATTGGAAAAATTGTGTGCACTTCCAAATCAAAGGACTTAGAAAACCAACATCTGATTTATTGGTTGTTTCCATTTTACTGGTTTCTCTTCACTTGTTTGCATCTCAAAGGAAAACCTACCAATTAGATTAAATGCTAATTGCTGCTACTGAACCTTTTTTTTCTAATTATTACAAAAAGCAAAACTACATTTCTATATCATCTTTTCTAAAATGGAAAACAAAGTCTTACTGTTTAACTACATCAACTCAGTCTTTTCTTCTTCACTGGTTTAACAGTTTAGGCCAGCGGTCCCCAACCCCCGGGCCTGGGACTGGTACCGGTCCATGAGTAGTTTGGTGCCGGGATGCGAGTATTGAGGCTCAGGTGTGAAATTCATGGTCTTCAGGGTTTTTTAGCATTATTTTTTTATCGTTTTTATCGTTAACTCGGTTTCCCTGGGTCTTTTCCGTGTGTTATGAATAAATCTTCTTTTTTTTGGTACTGGTACTGGTTTTATTTTGTTGCATTTACCCGCAACACCTTAAAGGCCAGTGGGTGAAAATATTGTCAGACATAAACCGGTCTGTGGCGCAAAAGAGGTTGGGGACCGCTGGTTTAGGCCACAGTGACCATGATGCCCACAAGATGCTAGTCTAGTTATTGAAGGAATGGAAGATCCTTTAACAAAGTGAATCTTTTACTTGTTGTTACTCATTTTTATAAATGTTAAGGTATTTTTCATCTGAACCAACACCTGTGGTAGTTGCTGCTTGCCTCCAAAGTTCTTCATTTGCTCCCTTTGTGCTTGCATGAACTCCAGTCGAGCTCAGAAGCTGACCCCGTGTAGCACTGCGGTGTCGGGTCATTAAAATGACCGACCTGTCCAGCTCTCGCTCACTCTACGGCCCCCACGAAGCCGACGCAAGGCGCTGCTATTACTGACTGCGTGTTAAATGGACAAAATGCCCTTAGTGTTTACAATAGTACAAAAAGACTACACTAAACCACCTGGAAACACAGGTCAATAAATCAATCAATCAATACTGCCTCTCCATTCCACCTGACAGATAATATACACAAAGAGCACTCAACCGCACTGTGTAAAAAGGTACAGAGAGTTCCTCCGATCATCGGTTGCTATGGCCTTCTCGCTCTCTGTTCCCGTCACTGCAGTTGTACCACTGTGGTATTGCTTTAAATGGACGAGACCCAGAGGTAGCAGCGTCGGCTAGAACACCGCAAAGGGTCCTGGGAAATGAAGTTTAGTGAGGTTGACGATTACGTCGATCAGAGTTAGTCTACTGACGTCCCAGTATAGTGTTTCTGAGTTGAGTTTCAATAGGTTTTCATAATAGGCCGGTCCAGCTCTGAAGCTTCTGTGTGATTGCTGTTTGGCCACCACCTTCCCATTCTGACCAGTCTTGAGCCTGAAGTTGGGTAGGTTGAGTTTTTGAGACTGAACAAACCTCAACACTTTCAAACATTCACTTTAAAGATTTCATGAGTGGTGCAATTTGACTGCACTTTTTTAATGAGGATGTGAGGATTATATCATGTAACAAAGCACTCGCTCCTTCATTACTGCACTGAAAATAGTGGATTGTCAGCACTGATCCAGGAACAGCACACGATGCATTCTCAGTCACTGTCACAGAATGGAAGCGAAATTTGTGTTAAAAGTTTTAACAGCCTTCATATGCGCTCTGTTCATTGGATGTAAGTCACCATGATATGTAGTCGTGGTAATAAGAAAGTACGCCCTATGTAACTTCTAATGTTTCACATATCAGTACATAATCAGATAAAGTGCAACCTCAGAATCACCCCAAGGTCAGAGAAACTGACATAAACCCAGGCAGAGCACCTCGGGTATGAACAAAGCAATGTTGTAAAGAAGAGCTGTTCCTCCAACAGTGTGAGGAAATGATAGTCATACAGCGGTTACTGCTGCTTGTGCTTCTACAAACTACTGAATTATCCCAGCTTTTATTCATCTGACTTTGTAATGACCTCATTTAAAGAGCTGGTGACGACTCAGTCATTTTGTTTATGCCCAATACTTAAAACCTTAGAATAAACAAAGCATGTACTTTTTTTTGACTCAAACGAGACTGTTAAAAAATCTGAGCAATGCTCTTAAGTCTTAATTTGAAAAAGAACAAGCTTGAAATGAGAAATCATCTCGACACGAGGATGCAACTAAACAATATGAGAAAACAGAAAATGAATCTATCAAGAAATTCTAATTGTAGGCGGATCTCCCTGTGATCTATTGATGTAACAGTGATATTGATAAGCCTGCTGAGTTGCACATTTTTCTGCCAGCTTTGGCTACAGCTGCTGTGTAGCTTTCAGCCTGGATTATATCTTTAAATTCCTCATATTTGTTTAGGATTATATATGCAGGATTATATTTGCTCCCATTAGAAATACACACCTTTAGACCTGTGTCTGTTCACCATTGGAAAACTAGTGATAACATCCCAATTTGAACATGCACAAACTGAGAATCATGTAGCTTTAACAGCAATTCAGGCAATCCAAGTGCCAACCTGGACTTTTACTGCTAACCCATGCATGCAGCTTCCTGATGTGTCCTCAACAAAAAACGGTCTTCTCCATTAAAGTTGGTGCAAACCACGTCCAATAATACCTGAGGAAGCAGGTTTTCCTCGCTCTCAGTACTTACTGCTTATTTCACCTTGATTTTAATCAGTTTGTAGTGAGTTTATTCAAGTTTACTGTGGACAGCTGGGGATGAAATACCAATATCCCAGTCCAGCCTCGTGGTCTAGGCTCTGGCTGATCCCCTGGTCCTCACCCAGGACCACTTCACCCTGACAGACCCTACAAGGGGCAACAATGACTTCTGAACCCATGGGATCACTCAGCCAAAGCCCTCCACTCTGGTAAGGTGGTGATTATGCTTTCTGGGTGAGGTGTTTTGGGCATGTCCAACTAAATGTGGGGCAGAACCAGGGCACGCTGGAATGGGAACACCCATTTATCACCCCAGAAGAGATGGAGGGCGTGGCTGAGGAAGACCGTCTTAGCATGTCTGCTTAGACTGTTGCTGTGACCTCTAGAAAATGGATGGTAGTGAGTTTAACAGCATTTAAGAGGTCTGACTGTCATCCAGCGAGGCTGTTTTCAACACTCCTGCTGTACCTCATTTCACGATCCATCAAGTGACCATCATTGCTTCACTGCTTCCTGGATCAGAGCTGATACAAACCTAACGTATGAGAATTACAGGGCTCATGATTTGGTACCATCGTGTGATATGTAGAATGAATACCACAGTCTCTGGAGGAGCTAGCGTCATTTGGACTACAAAAACACATAATCACTGGACCAGCCTATTTTACTCAGCCATGACTTTTGACCTTAATATCACCTTTCTGTAGTTGCTGCTGTTTGCCTGCGGAGGGCAGCGCTGGTCCTGCTAGAAGAACTAGAGCTCGCTGACCACCCCCCCTCCAACACAACAATATTCAGCCATCCTGAGCATCTATAAACAAACAAACAAACAGGTCGTGGTCTGATCGCATCAGACCATGTGCTTACTTCCTGTCTAACAGCCAAACCTTTTCAAACTTCAAATCTTCAAATAGAATATATTCAGAAATCCAATCTGATTGGATAAAACACTGTTTACATATATATATTTATATAGAATATTGTTTTTGCTTTTTTATACAAAAAGAGAAAGTCTTTTGTGGTTTTATACATATGTGTATGTACAGATATAGAAAAGTGACCACACCAACCCTGCTGTGATGTAACCATGGCCAACAGGACAGGAGACGCTATTTACACCAAACAGGAAATATTACAATTATTTAAAAAAGAGAGAGAGAGAGAGAGAAAGATAACGTGGGACGTGGTGGTCACTGCGGTGTTTCAAAAGTACAATCCCACAGTCCCCTCCTTCAAAGAAGAAGGTGCAGGGTTTAGGTCACATGACTCAATCAACACAAATGATAAAGACAGAGCGAGGGAGAGAGAGGACTGATGGGTGTTGCAGTTTCATTAGTTACATGAATCCTGCTAAAGCTGATCTGATCCTGAGACGCTTCCACCAGATTCCACAAAAGTCTGATTGAATATTATTTGAATCTTATTACTAATATTCAACTGAGATTTTTACTGGAGAGTTCTAGTGTGTGAGGATGGCTTTAGAGGGTTTTCTTCCCTCAAAAATGTGAAAAAAAGCAAAACTCAGTCTTTTGGAATATAGCCAGATATTAAAAAATAGTCAAGAAGCAGAATATGTATTTACATGAGCTCATGAGTCTCTCTCTCCATCTCTCTACAGGCTGCTAAATAGTGAGACTGGGACAAACTAAGGCATCCAGATGAAGAAACAAGGACTCAGAAATGAAGTGACCAACTGGATCAACAACAGCGTGTGTGTGTGTGTGTGTGTGTTTGCGTGTGTGTTTAAAAGTGTGCTTCTTCAGTCCTGATCAGCTGGTTGCTGTACTGAGGTGCTGCGGTGGTGGTTTGTGTTTTCTGGACTTAGTTTTAGTTTTTGTGGACAGAAAAAAAGGCACCTAGTTCCTCCTCCTCCCCTGCGAATATTAAAACCAGTTATTTCCTCCAACGGGCAACCCTGCGCTCGACACACGCAAGAGGACCAGTCGTCCGCTTGGTGTGCGGCATTTAAGATTCAAGTTTTTCCACAGTCATCGTCCCTCAGTGGAAACAAAGGAGCAGGGATGGAATAAAAAGGTCACAAGAATGATTGGAGGGTGGAAGAGAACATTTCAGTGGTGCTGTGTACAGGTGGTCAAATATTCAAGGGCTCCCTCTCTGCTGAGACCCACGGAGGTGCTAACAAGTCGTCTGCTCCTCCTTGCATGGACGAAACAGTAGAGAAAAGAAGTGCATCCATGTTTTCGCATGACACGGTTTCTCCTCCGTTAAGTTCTCCTTTGCCAGTTGGAGTCCTCCACAACAGCACGACTGCGCTCTGTGTGTGTGTGTTGTGTTTACCAATGCACACTCCATGGAGGAAGAGGAAGAGAAAGAGAGGTGCTAGAAGGAGATGTAAGTGGAAGTTTGGTGTGCTTCTTGTTTAAGCTCCTCCTACAAAATGGGCTCCTCTTCCATAGGTTCCTCTGTGGACCTGAGAGAAGGTCAAAGCAAAACAACATAAATGAATAAATACAAGCCTGAGAATTTGTTTGAAAACATGATTCATTTCATTTTATTGTGATTTACAACACTAATGTGCTTGGATGACATGCGTGCTCTCCTGGCCCTGTAGCATAAAGCTTTCACTGTGCACTGCTGACCTGCTGGTTTCTGTGCTATCAGGAACAGAGCCTGGCTGCTCAACATCAACGCTCAGAGACGCCATGGCGCTGACCGTTTCCGCCTCATCCTTCTCTGACTGGCCTTGAGGCCCCAAGGGGCCGTCGAGTAGCGAGTGTCCACTGGTCTGAGACAAACTCTGGAGACAGGACCAGTGTTTACCTGCAGGGACACAGTGAGAGAAAGAAATGCAATCAGGAAGTTGAGAAGATACGATCTCATGGGTTTCTGGCAGTTTAGCGAGCGTTTCTTACTCTGGATCTCTATTACTCTCTCCAGGGAGGCGTAGGCTTTTGGACAGGGCTGCTCCTGAGGCCACTGAAACATAGAGTCACACTGACGGAGACAGAGAGAAGGGAAAACCAAAAAATAAGTGCCCGACACTTCAAGAAAGTCTGCTGACCAGTGAGGAGTGATGTTCTCATCACTGAGTCACAGAACAGGCTAGCTAACATGCTTTATTCTCTTTATTAGTTTATGAGTTGGTGGGTACTCTGGCTTCCTCCCACAGTCCAAAGACATGCACTACATGGTGTGAATGTGGTTGTGTGTGTATCACAGTGTAATTGGCTTCATAGCTTTTGTCCCAGTAAGAAAGCTACGAAGCAGATTTTCCATCATTTGAGTGAATTTATTCGGACAAAGCAGTAATTGCAGTGTGCGCTCAGTCACCTCAAACCATCACAAAACCTTGTAAACACTGGTGTTGTTGTTCCATACTGTTGTGGCTAACACCTCCAGGTGGTAAAAGTCTAAGGTTAAGACATAAATATTAGACTCTGACTCTCACCGGGTCTCCCAGAAGCGCAGAGACGCAGGCCTCCGATGCGTCACAGATAGCGGTGAGGTCATGACCGCCCTCCAGCGCCATAACAACCCGCCCACCCGCCAGACCCATGAGCAGCTGCGTTAGCTGACCAAAACCTGCCAACACACAACCGTCACACGTGAGAAACACTGCATGTGAACCATAGTCACATAGACTCCTCAAGAGACGGCTCTGTAGAGAGACAGCATGTTTCTATTCGTTTGTTGCCTTACTGTTGAAAAACAGCTAGTTGTGGTCAAAAAAGAAAAAAGAAGTTGAGCAAAAACCCCAAATGAAAACAAACTAAAGGCTGTACTCACATTTGGCAGAGACATTGTAGCCTCCCAGAGGAGACTGATGACCCTCCACTGCATCGAAGCCTGCTGACACCAGGACCACATCTGGACTGAACTGTTGAGCAATGGGCATCACCACAGTCCTACACACACACACACACACACACACACACACACACACACACACACACACACACACACACACACACACACACACACACACACACACA